CCCTTTTTAATGGCTCCTAACATCCTGTTTGCTTTTTTGACCCCCGCTGCACACTGCGTGGATGTCTTCAGAGAACTATCCATCGTGTGATAAATCAGGTTAAACAGGAGCCATTTGAAAGCACAACTACATGAGTTACACCTCACTCAAGCGCCTCAAAGGGTCCCTCCCAGTTTTTTTCTGTGCAACAGGGGCAGGCTAGAATTTAATGAAGTCACGGGGGGGACGGGGGACTCTGGTGCTAAAGGCAGGAGGTGCGGGTTCCCCCTGCATGGTAGGGGCTCTGTGCCCAGGGAGGGGCAGAGGCTCATTCCACAGTAAATCAAACAGGATTTATGGGCTGAGCTGGTGAAGGCCTTACACGCAACTTGATGGCAGTTGTCTGTAGGACTGTTGGAATCTTGCATCCAGTCAATTCCAAACGTTCAGGACATGGAAATAGTCCAGGCATCAGCGATCAGAATGATTCTGGAGGGTGGGAAGAAATCAGAAAAGCCAAAAAAGGGAAACATTAAGCTCCTACCAGTTCTTTAGCACAGGCCAAGCACCTCAAGCATTTCTGCATTTGTCTGTAGATTAAATAACTGGTTGATGGTGCCCATTAACCCCCTTCCAGTATAACCATATACACACCCCATCTTATCCCTGCTTCTCCTCCATAAACCCTCCTGTGTTACGCTGGCAGAGAGTCGCTTCGGGCTAGAGAACAGGGGGCATTATTCCCTCTGGGAATGGAGGCCCCGGGGGTCCAGAGCAAGTGTACTCCCTGACGGGGCCCACGGCAGAGACAGACGTGCTAAGGCTCAGAGAGGTGCGGCTCCAGGAGGTGGAGGGGCCTGACCCTGAGAGAGAGTGGACCCCCAAGAAGGGCTGTCGCACTGAAGGGGGTTCCCCCCAGGGACCGCATAGGGCCAAGAGTGGGCACGATCTGTGAGTCCATGACACCGACCAATTAACACATTGATATGGCTATGCCGAATGACTTTTCTCCCACACAAGAATGGGGGAGGGAAGGCAATGCATTGGCATGGGGAGAATGCACAGCACCTAGCATGGGAGGAGAGAATGGAGGACCCTCGTATTGGGGAAGGAGGAAATGTGGCATGCAGAAACCCTCACATGGGAAGGAAGGAGGTAACAGGGGTTCACTCAGGGCCCCTGCTGGGGGAAGGAGGAATGGGGGCACACAGAACTTGTGCCACAGAAGGGAGATTGGAAGGCTCGATATGGGGGAAGAGGGAACAGTGGAAAAGGGGGGCACCCCCCCCCAGCATGGGGAGCACTTAATTAGGGGGCAACATTTCTATAAAGCATTTCAGTGTGGCCCAGAAGGAAAAGGCTCTTCCCCTCCCCTGATTTCTCCATATAAACAAACATCATATAAAGCAGTGGTTCTCAAACTTTTGTACTGGTGACCCCTTTCACATAGAAAGCCCCTGAGTGCAACCCCCCTTACAAATTAAAAACACTTTTTATATATTTAACACCATAATAAATGCTGGAGGCAAAGCAGGTTTGGGGTGGAGGCTGACAGTTCACAACCCCCCCATGTAAGAATCTTGTGACCCCCAGTTTGAGTACTGATATAAAGGAAATACTTCACTCAACACAACCTGTGGAACTCCTTGCCAGGGGATGTTGTGAAGGCCAAAACTATAACATGCCTCAAAACTAATTAGATTAATTAATCCACCACAGGTCCATCAATGGCTATTAGCCAAGATGGTCAGGGATGGAATCCTGAGTGTCCCTAGCCTCTGACTGCTCAAGACAGGGAGAGGATAACAAGGGATGGATCACCTGTTCTGTTGATTCTCTCTGAAATACTAGGCACCACCTACTATTGAAAGACAGGATACTGGACTGAGCTAGACAGACCATTGACCTGAACCGTATAGCCATTCTTAGGTTATCAATTTCCAGGTTTGCATTTTAATCTGTGTGGCTCATTGAAATGACACCATTTATTTCGCATATATTCAGTAGCATGCTCTCAGCTTGTGAAGAAAATTGTAAACAACCACTTTGTGGCTGGGAGTGAAAGCAGGAAAATGGGGGTAGATTCCCCCCACCCCCAATCAGTAACCTCCCTCTCTATGACAGGTTTCAGAGTAGCAACCATGTTACTCTATCCACAAAAGGAACAGGAGTACTTGTGGCACCTTAGAGACTAACACATTTATTTGAGCAGTGGATGTATCCGAAGAAGTGGGTTTTAGCCCACGAAAGCTTATGCTCAAATAAATCTGTTAGTCTCTAAGGTGCCACAAGTCCTCCTGTTCTCTATGTAAAGCCGTTACTCATCTCTCACAGAAACAGAAATGACAGAATGGGGGCAGGAGGAAGGATTGATTCTCGCATCTGCACTCACTTCCTGAACTCACATGAAAATACAGGAGAACACAGTAACTATCATTTCATCCAAACCACCTATTTTTCTTGAATGTCTAAAACCAGGTAAGGAGAGGAATAACTTTACTGCTACATTAAGTACAGACCATCCTCCATTTTAGCTGATGTATGGGGTGTTAATGCATTTCACGCCAAACCCCTTAGCAAGGAGATTGCTTTTAGTAGAAAAATATAACCTAGTTTGACACCAAACCTCAGCTGTCTAGCAACAATCCAGAAGCACAATAAATTACCCGCAAACTGTTGCACGCATCTCCATAGAGAACTACTTATACTTATCCTTTTTCCTCTTCCCTTTTATCTACCGTTTTCAGAGATCAACAGCTCTTTTTGAACTTGTGGGTGGCTCTTAAAAGAGCCTTTGGGTTCAGTGAATTCGAATACGAGCCGCCTGCTCACTTGCCCTTGGCTTTGTGGCTCTCGGTTTTCTTGGGCAGCAGCACCGCCTGGATGTTGGGCAGGACGCCCCCCTGCGCGATGGTGACTTTCCCCAGCAGTTTGTTCAGCTCCTCGTCGTTGCGGATGGCCAGCTGCAAGTGCCGGGGGATGATGCGGGTTTTCTTGTTGTCGCGGGCGGCGTTGCCAGCCAGCTCCAAGATTTCCGCCGTGAGGTACTCCAGCACCGCAGCCATGTAAACGGGAGCGCCGGCTCCCACTCGCTCCGCATAGTTCCCCTTGCGCAGCAGGCGGTGCACACGGCCCACAGGGAACTGCAGCCCAGCACGAGAAGAGCGAGAC